TTGATTATAATCGATTGAGGCATTATTTATTGAGTCAATTGAAGCCTGATCATCTTCTTTTGATTTCTGCTTTAACCTTTGATAGATAGAATATGATTAGGTTAAGAGAGCTTCCTTGATTGATAGTGGTGAATTGGTTGTGCGAGAGTCAATCAATTCACTGCTTTGTACTGGAATTCATTCCAGTAGTGGAGATCTGTGTGAATCGCCTTAGCAGTCTATCCCAGTGAAGGCTAGTCGCCTGCCGGGTATTCTGTCTAAGAGGGCTTGGTCAGCTTAAGAGATTCCAAGCTAATTTAGGATCTTCCGCAGTTTAATCAACAGTAGATCAACCAAAGGTAATTGCAAATTGGACCTAATTGAGGAGCTAGGGGGAATCATACCTAAGTGAGTTCCCAACTTGTAATTAGTAGAGTAGTTTAGTAAATCAATCATTAATCTAGTTTGCTAGATAATGAACTGACGCCGAGTAATAGTAACTCTAGAGACCCGTGGATTCGATATTTATTACTTGTGCCACTATACTGTAGTCCCTTTCATTGGTTACACTTGGCCATTGTTAGGTGTTGTGTCGTAGTGTGTCAGCGGACAACCTCGAGGAGGAGATCAACGACTCCTTCCCGGAAGAAAGACTGATGATGATGTACCTGGTGGAGAGTGTCACCCCTTGGTACTACGATTTTGCGAACTATCTGGTGGGCCAGCAGCTTCTCAAGGGGATGATAACTCACACCAAGAGGAAATTTTTCTCTAACCTGAAGTATTACTTCTGGGATGACCCTCATCTCTTCAGGATCGGAGCCGACGGGATCATCCGTCGCTGTGTTATGGAGAGTGAGATGGAGGGCATTCTATCTTACTGTCATGAAGGACCTACAGGAAGTCACCACAGAGGAAATCACACAATGAGGAAGGTGCTACAGTCGGGCTTTTACTGGCCCACGCTCTTCAAGGACGCAGACGCCTGCGCATGCAAGTGCGACCGATGCCAGAGGTCCGACAACATCTCTACCCGCGATGAGATGCCGCAGAATGTGTTTATAACTTGTGAGATTTTTTATGTCTGGGGTATCGACTTCATGGGCCCTTTCCCTCCATCTTTTGGCAATACCTATATCCCGGTTGCTATTGACTACGTCTCTAGGTGGCTGAGGCGCAAGCTTTGCCCACTAATGATGCTAGATGTGTTTGTGGTTTTCTGAAGCAGCTATTCTCCCGGTTTGGGACACCTAGAGCCATCATTAGCGATCAAGGCACCCATTTCCAAGGCTTGTTTGATAAGTTACTGTCTCGCTATGGTGTGACTCATAAGGTGTCCATGGCCTACCATTCTCAAACAAGTGGCCAGGCCAACCTGACGAACCGGGAGCTCAAGCGGATCCTGGAAAAGACGGTGGATCAATCCCGCAAGGATTGGTCCACCAAGCTTGATGATGCTCTATGGGCATACCGCACTGCCTATAAGACACCCATTGGTACTTCACCGTACCGGCTTGTCTATGGAAAGGCATGCCATTTGCCCGTGGAGCTAGAGCACAAGGCCTTTTGGGACTTTAAGCTGCTCAACTTGGATGTTAGTGTTGCAGGTGTTGAGCGCAAAATGCAAATGCTGGAGCTAGAGGAATGGCGTTATCACGCCTATGAGAACACAAGGTTGTACAAGGAGCGCACTAAGTGCCCTGCACGATGCACGGTTGCGGGGTCTGAAAGATTTCCAGGTTGGTATCGAGTTCTCCTCTATAATTCTCGCCTGAAGCTCTTTCCCGGAAAACTCCGTTCCCGGTGGTCTGGACCGTTCACGGTCACACAGGTGTTCCCGTATGGCACGATCGAAATTGCCACCCCGCAGACTGAACCATTTAAAGTAAATGACCATCGTCTCAAGCTCTACTTGGGAGACGAGGTCGAACGTGCGGAGTTGGTAGTGGAACTCGCGGACCCTTAGTTCCACCATAGGCGTCCAGCTAAAAGACGGTAAAGAAGCGCTTGTGGGGAGGCAACCCCACCACGGTTTGCATTTCTACCCTTTTTACTTTTCATTTTTGTCGGTTTATGAGTTTTTGAGTCTGTCTGGAGTCTGTCTGGAGTGTATCTGGAAAGTATTTCGTGCCTCGGGCAGTTTGTTTTAATATGTGACTGGGTATTTTTTCGAGCCGGGGCGCGATGAGTTTTGGTGGTTTGAAATTGGGATTTGGAAAAAATGCAGAGGTGGGCTCGGCAGTAAAAACATGGGCACTAGGAGAGCAAAACACGGCCGTTTTTTCTCCCCTGTTCGCCCGTGTTTTCATCTTTGGCAGAAGTGCCTCGGCATAAAAAACACGGGCACTGGGGTTCAAAAACACGGCCGTGTTTTGAACCCAGCCCGCCCGTGTTTTCAAAGGGGGAGAACACGCTCTCGGCCTAAAAAAAAAAATGGGCGCGGAGCACGGAAAACACGGTCGTGTTTCCGCCCACTCGTGTTTTAATGAACCCCCTATAAAAGTCAATTTTTGGCCTTCCCCCTCCCTCAGAATCATTATTTCAAATTTCTAACCGCCCCCCTCGCCGAATTTTCGGATTTCCTCTCTTCTCCTCCGGTTTTTCGGCCATAACTTCCTCTCCTGACCTCCAAATCACAAACCGCAACCGCCCCTACGCTCCTGGCGTCGAGGAGCACAATCCCTAGAGGTTTGGGCTTGTTTGGTCGAGGTTGGGTTGCCGGCGGCGAGTTCTCCGGCGAGTCTCCGGTGGGTCTTCCGGCGACTTTGGGGTGTTTTCTTCCCTTTTCTTCACCTACCTTGCGGTATCTACTTGCGTCTCCAGGTGTGTTTTCATAGCCTCCCATTTTATTTTTTGGAGAATCGATACCTAGAGTTAGGTGATGAATTTGGGATTGTGGCATGATTTGAGAATCCTTTGGTAGGCCGATGGCGCTCTTTGCTTGTTATATTTTTGTCCCGGGAATTCAGTTCTTCAGCCTACCATTTGCATGTTGGCATTGTATGTGTTCTTGTGTGGCTTATGCGTGATAGATCGATTAGTGAATATTTGGGATAGATTTTGTGTTTGTTCCACCAGGGGCCTAGTCCACTGCCCGAATCGTTCGATTTGTGGGCCCCCGGTATGTTTGTTTGGTGTGATTATCGTTGTGATTGGTATGCTTGGTTCACCGGGAGCCTAGTCCACTGTCCATATCTTTCGATGTGAGGGCTCCCGGTGTGGTTTCTGGCTAACATTGACCTTGTTCGCTTGTGTGCCATTTGTACATCCTTGTGCTTTGCAGGATCATGGAAGCCTACCTCGACCAATTGAGCATCACACAATGCCATCTGTTGCGGACCATCCGTACCCGCCATATCGCCGAGCACCTGCATCTTGACTTTGAGGTGTTCGAGGCGCTTCATGCCCGCCCGCAGATGGAGGCAGTTGTTCGCGCCTATGGTTGGCGGCGCCTTCTCTGCCTCGCCGAGCGGACCTACCAGAAGCTCGTTTGGGAGTTCTACGCATCCTTCCGCCACTCCCAGAGGAGGTCGGCCGACCACTCTGATGCGGTAAATTTCACACTCGGCGGGGTGGAGCAATCCATCAGTTACTGGGAGTTGGCTACTGCACTTTGGCTCAACTTCCCTCACCCCAGCGACCGGCCCTTGATCGTGGAGGTGACCGATCCCACTGACTTTTCTGACCATGCCTACTTCCAGCGCATCTGCCTACCGAACTATGTGGATGAGTGATACATCGCCAGCCAGACGCGTGCCACTCTCCTCCGTCTGGAGTGGCGGATCCTCAACCACTTGCTCACCCAGTCTTACACCCCCAACCGGGGCTCGGCCAACCAGGTCACCCTCTGGACCCTGTTCTTCATGCACGGGATGGGTCGCTCTGAGGACACTATCGAGCTAGCCTCTGTGCTTGCCCGGACATTCACCAAAGCCTCCGCCAACCAGGATCTCCACCTTGTATGTGGCCCGGTGATCACTGCCCTAGCCCGCTATTACGGGGTCGACATCACCAGGATGACCATGGTCCGAGCACCGACCCCATTCAGTGAAGGCACCCTCCGTCATCAGCACATGCTTGCTCGACAGGGGCGTTTGGTATGGATTGCGGGTCTCCCTCGGCTGCCTGCACATGAACCTGCAGAGGGCGACCAGCCAGAGTCGAGCGCAGCTGGAGGGCGCCGGGTTCCCCGCCGTACTGTTCGTCGTGCCCAGACCCCTGCGAGCCCCTCCGCTGCTCTGAGGTCTCCTGCTCCCGGGTCTCCCGCTCCCGTGGTCTCCATTTCTGACCAATTGGCGGCCATCGCTCAGCAGAACGAGCGCATTCTGGCCGGCCAGGAGAGCATTCACATCCGCCTCGATCGTGAGCGGGACCGCGGCCGTCGTCTTATGTCCGGCCAGCACTATATCATGTTGTACCTGGGCCTGGACCCAAACTTAGTCCACTACCCCTTCGTGCAGTCACCGGGGTATGAGGACGAGTACCCTCCACCCACCGGCGATGCTGGCGATGCGTTCTAGTGGCGAGTGGCTGGTACTGCACTTCATTTCTTTTCCAGACTAAGACTCCATGTTTTTGTTGTTTCTTTTTTGTTTTGTTTTTTTTTATTGTAGACTTGGAACTCCGGTTCTTTCACCCAGTGTGTGTCTTGGAAATACTAACATTTATGTGACCTCCTTCGCTATTATGCTCTAAAGAATGTGAGTAATGCAGAATGGCAGAAAGAAAGAGTGGTTTGATTGCCTGTGAGTGTGTTGGGTTTGGAATTGTGGAACCTTGTTCTATGAATACTTCCACCACCTAAAAGGCTTTTTCCCCATGTCCAAGACCCTAGCCAGTCATTTGAACCTGTATCTAAGACCTCCGGATTAGTTAGTGGTGACACCCCATATGTGAACTCTAGCAGTTAAAGGCTGCCTTCATGGTGAAGAGACGTTAGGGAATGAGAGAATAAGCATGCACATTTTTCTCATCAAATTGTCCTAACCCCACTGGTCGAGAGTGAGCGATTCATTTTCTCATATTCTCTATACTCTTTATCCCGGTGAGGACCTTGATTGCTCGGTCTTAATTCTGATATCTTGAGCTTTATGCATGAAGTGACTGTCTTGAATAAGTGGTTGAGTCAAGTCTATGTTGGTTGGTGAACAGAAGGGAGACTCTTCCTTTGCTCGACTTTGCTTCACTCGAATGTCATCTGTGGTGGTTGTCTAGGTTGTCGTTGAGGTTGTCCATGTGTTAATGACCAAAAGCCAGTATGATTCACGTGTTTTGTGCCGATATGACATGCCCCTAATGCCTGCTTGATTAAAACGTTTTGAGCTTACTTTGTTTCTGACTTGGTTTGCTTGGGGACAAGCAAATGGTTAAGTGTGGGGGAATTTGATAACGATGTAATTGCACATGTTTGCACCCCTAGTTCTTATCCGTTTACAAGACGTAGTCGTGTATTTTTGGCCTATTTTACGCCGGGTTGTGCTACTTTGTCATATTTCAGGTTCCAGACGTCGAAGGAAAGGCTAAGCACGAGTTGGGGCATTTGGAAGTCATTCGGTCGAGCTGGGGCTAAAGCACGGGCTGGACTAAACCAAAACATGGCCGTGTTCATGGACCGTGTTATTTATGCCAAGGCTTGATCCAAGGTGCTCCTGCGCTGGCCCAAAACACGGGCGGGAGTGACAAAAAACACGGTTGTGTCCAACTATAGGCATGACTATGTTTTCCCCAAGATGTGAGCGTGTTTTTAACACGTGGCAAGGGCACGGACGGGAAAAAGAAAACACGGCCGTGCCCTCGCCTGTGTTTTTCCCATAGTCAACCTTTTTAGGCAGATTTGAGCCAAAGGAGAGGGAGTTTCGAGTCTTAGAGACAAAAAGCGATTCCTAGAGAGAGAAAGCGACGAACCAGAGCTCCCAAGTGCCCTAGCTTGATCTTCATCACTATTGGAGCTTGGCTCACACTTGGAGAAGTGCCGATTGACGACCAGGAGCAGAAACCCATCCTTCACAGCATGATATATGCATCTGAGCTTGCTTTTGCTTTTCTGTCCAAGGAGTAACTTCCTCATTGGATATGGAGAACCCTAGATTTGTATGTTAGGTCTGATTGTATGAACCCAAATACAGATTATATGATTTGATTATATTCAATTGAGGTTTGAGTTGTTTAATGGCATGAATCCTGATCAAATTCCTGTTGTTTCTGCTTTAACCTAGAAAGAGAATACCTGCCTAGGTTGATAGAGCATCCTTAATTGAAGGTAGTGAATTGGCGACTTTAGTCGAGGAGCCAATTCACTATTTGTACCGAATTTACTTCGGTAGTGGAGGTTTGGTTCGTGTGAGGGCTCATTTACTTGAATTGGCATGGGGCTCCATCCACGAGACCTCGCCTTCTTTCCTTGGTCCTTTTCCTCTTTGCCCCACGTCATGTAGTGCACACTTAATTGAATTTCATCGCATCCACCAAGAGGGATCGCCAATGCTTTGGCCTTGGCTTAGCAAAGAGCTGCAAATGGGTCCTTCTCCAAAGTGCATCGAGGTCGGGTGGAAAGCTTTGATATTACTTGTAACTTGTTGAAACTTCATCCACAACGATATCGTCCTCATCATGGGCACCATTTGCTTCTTCAACCTCCCTTCTCTTTTCTTCAATTCGTTCCACCACTTGGGAGCGTTCAAGATCTTCCTCTTTTTTAATGCTCATTTCCTCCTCCACATCCTTCCTTATCGCCTCTTCAACCTCCTTTCCTTTTTCTACAATTGGTAGGAGATGATTGTGAATAAGTCGTGCACATGCTTGCTCGACAATCTCTCCTAGTCTCTCCATTTTTTGGAGGAACTCCTCTGTTGACCATAGAAAAGATGAGTCACTAGGAGTGGTGGCTGAGGATTTTACCTCGGAGCTCGCTCCTTGGCTTCGGTATTGGAAGGAAATCTTCTTGGAATGAGGAAGCCTCTTCATATCTCCATTGATATGGTTCTTTTTCTTGGGAGGGGGTTGGTAAAAGAATCCGAACCCTTGACTTCCACCATCTTGATTGTTCCATGAAGCTTTGGGATAACCATCTTCGGGTATTGATGAATACTCCCTCAATTTGGTGAAGTCATAAGGATCCATGATTCAAAAGCTTCTACACAAAAAAAAACTCTAAAAGGAAAATCAAACACACACAAACCACCCTTTGGGGAGAAGAATGGGTGAAAAACTAAGCACAAAAAGAAACAAACGCGAAAATAACAAAAACACACAAAAACACAAACAAGAACGCAAAATAAAACAAACAACAAAAACAAGATAAAGACTAACTAACAACTTGATGGTTTTCTACTACTTACCAAGGTTCCCCGACAACAGCGCCAAAAAGCTTGATCGGTTCAATCCGTGCATATTATTGTCAATGGTTAGCATGTGTCCACAACTACCCTAAGCCAAGTTTAACTTAAGACATCATTATCGTATAGTGGTGATCAAGGTCGTATTTTACTTTGGTCCTGGTACCCTAGCCTACTTCTCACCTTGTTGCTAATTAGTCAATCGGTTTTGGAGGTTTGAGTGGAGGACTTTAGGAGATAACTAGACTAGAAATTGATCAAATCTAAAATCATCGGGGAACTAATCCTCCCCTAGCTTAGGGTTACTATGCATGCACAAATACTTAGGGTTATCGAATGTGGTGGGTGAGCTCTTTTTCGTGGGATTTTATGGTTATCAACACGCTCATTTCAATGGACACTATTCACCATCCACAATGAGTTTTCATCCCGGGTTCTCTAGGAAGGCTACCCTACGGCAAGGGTTCGGTTGCCTCGACCACCATAGGCCCCTATTCATTCATTTATCTCGATTTGCTTGATGAAGCAGACCCGTATAACCATAGAACTCCATACCCAACATAGAAGCATAAACTAGGCTAATAGAGAAGATTAGGGCGACTTACCCAAACACAATCATGGAGAGAATAGCAATAGAATCAACTAGATAAACACATTCATTCAAACCCTAAAATATTCATACATACATAATAAACCCTAAAACTAGGGCTTGGAGTTTAGAACCCCTAGTACCTTAGGCTTAGAGGTCTACTCCATAAAGAAGGGAGAAGAAACAAAGAAGACTTGGGGCGAGGAAGATGCTCCCTCTCCTCAAGCTCCTTCTCCTTCTTCTGCTTCCTTCTTCTTCCTTAAGCTTTTCTCTCTTCTCTCTCTCTAAAAATAGAAATTTCTCTGAAAATCGGCTCATCTAAAAGGGGTAAGAGGTCTTCTATTTATAGGCAATTTGGGGATGAAGAAGTTCGCGGCGAGAAGCATAGAGATCGCGGTCGTGACCGTCAGAAGTGAGGCCGCGATCTTCAAACGTCGTCGTCCTAGCCTTCACAAATGAGGAGATCGCGAGTAGACTTCGTTGTCGCAGTCGCGATCTTCCTCGCGTTCAAATAATGTTGTGGTGGTGATTCTACTGGGGAAAATCTATGTTTCTCCCTGGCTTCTTCCTTGCGAAGTTCGAACCCTGATCCCTCCAATTTGCAGCAGCGATCTTGGGCTTACAGGCCGCAATCTTTAGCTTGAGTTCGTGGTCTATGTTCCTGGCCATGATCTTCAACTTCCAGGCCACAATCTTCAGCTTCCTGCCCCCTTGCTACACTTGTGACCTTGTTTTGTACCTAATTCACATATATCGTCTAATAGAGCCTAAAATCACATCGAAATCACATAGGAATGAAATAGGGATGCAATCGACGATGTTCAAGCAATTATGCACATGAATTGACACGAAATAAACCTTGATATGAGGGTTAAATAACACTAACTTAAGTGTTATAAGAACTCAATAATATCAAGATAGACTACTCATACAATCATTCAATCAAACTAAATTGGCTTGTGTGCATCAAAACCTAAGTGAAGGAGAACTATTTCATATAGAAGCGAAAGAATACATTAAAAACACTCCAAATCTTCAATCTTCATGTATAGGCTTGATATTCTAGCTCCAAAAGCGATGGAAACCTCCAATTTTTCTCCAAAATCACTGTTAGATCGCTATGCCTCTCTTTGTAAAGGCCATTGGGTGTTTCTGACCAAAACCTCATCTCTCACCTTCACAATCTGCAAAACATCCTTTTATACCCGAGTGCAGAGCACAAATCATGGTCATGAGGGTCGTGGCTCGAGTTGTTACCTACCCAAAACTTTCCTGTTTCATTTATCGTCAGGTGACATGTCATGGTGATAAGCCGTTAATTGCACATGTTTTTACCCCTATTCTGGAGCCGTTTGAGATGGTAATGCTCGTGTTTTAGGCCGATTTCACGCTAGGTTGTGTTTGTTGGTGATATTTCAGGTCCTAGCAAGTGAATGAAGGTTTAGGAGCGAGTTCGGGGTCGATTGGACGAGGATCGGGCGAGAGGCAAGTCAAAAAGGAAGCCACACGGGGAACCTCACAACTCACACGGCCGCGCAAGTGACCAATTTGGCCGTGTGGGATTGTGCGAGCCTTCACACGGCCAGCCCTGATAGTCACACGGCCGTGTGAAGTTGCACTTTGGCCGTGTGGAATTCTGCGAGGCTTCACACGGCCAGGCTGGGTGAGCTACACGGCCGTGTGACCCTGGCCGTGTAAGAAGCCTGAAATCCAATTATTCGGAACGCGGCGTTCTGACCTCACACGGCCAACTGGGTATGCCACACGGCCGTGTGGCCCTGCCCGTGTGAGTCAGGAATTTCTGGTTTTTACCCAATTTCGGGCTGCAAGTGAGAGAATCGAGCTTTGAGAGCAAAAACAGAGCCCTGGAGAGAGAAAGTACAAAGAACACATCCTAGAAGCTATCTTGGAGCTGGGTTTCATCAAATCAAGCTTGGAGATCGTCATAGGAGTGGAAATCATCATCCCAGAGCAGATTTTCCTCATCTTTATGAGTATGACTACTCTGTATTCTGTTTCCCTCTCTCTCTCTATGGAGTAGAACCCTTCTCTCACTTGGGTATGAAGAACCCTAGTTCTATGTGTTAGGGATTTGATTGTAATGACTTGGGATGATATTACTGTTTGGTGTTAATAGAATGATGCATATTTATTGAGTCAATTGAAGTCTGATCAGCTTTTCCTGATTTCTGCTGCAACCTGAGATAGATAGAATCTGATTAGGTTGTTAAAGCCTCATCATTTGGTAGTAGGAGATTGGCTATACGAGAGTTAGCCAGTTTACTGCTTTGTACTGGAATCCAATTCCAGTAGTGGAGTTCTGTGCTTATTGCTTCAGCTTTCTATCCCGGTGAAGACTAGTCGTCTGCCGGGTAGTTAGACTGAGAGGGCTTGGTCAGCTTAAGAGATTCCAAGCTACTGTCGGATCTTCCGCAGTCTAATCAACCCAGGGAAATTACAATTGAAACCTAACTAAGGAGCTAGGGGGACTCATTCCCGAGTGACTCTTCTTTGCTTGAGAAAACCGTACCAATTCCTGCTTTCTTTCTGCTTTTGCTTAAAACAACAATCACTTAACTTAGTTGGCTAGATAATAGATACTCACGGAGTAAGCAGTAGATCTAGACCCCCGGGTTGATAATAGAACTTGCCATTTTACTGCATTCCCGGACTGCGATTACACTTGGTCGCAGTTTGGTGTTGTGTTTTGGCGTGTCACATGGTTTCTGTGCAAAGTCACGACCATGACCATAACTTTTGAAGTCGAGGGCGTGACTTGTATTTTCCTCCTGTCTCTTTTTAAACATTGCCATTGACCGTGACATTGGACAGCCTGGCCGTGACATAAGATTTCCTACTACCTTTTGCCATGTTCTTGCCTCCAAACGTTCTGATACACGTCCCTAGGCCCCACACTTCTACTAGAACCTGAAATATGACAAAAGAAGCAAAATCTTGCGTAAAATAGGTCAAGGAACGAGTTTTACCAAGTCAAATAAATTAGTATATAAACATGTATTTGTTGATATCAAAACCCATAGCTAATTCTAGGAAATTAGTGGGTATTTTCAAACCATTTTGCTCAAGGCATCCTTCTGAAGGAATCCTTACCACGAATCACTTGTGGGGTCAAATCGATTGCTAGGAAAAAAGATCTGCTTCCTGTTTTTAATAAAGACTTACGACCATCGACGGCTAGTGATTAGGCGTCATACCTCTTGGTTAAATCGTCATCAGCATGGATCCGAATTTCACCAGCAAGTGGTGAAGGGATTGGGGAGAAGAGTATCGTATATTCCGCTAGCTAGACGTTTGAATTTGCTCTGGGCTACGAATGAGGAACTTCAAATATCGAATACGAGGAATGGCTATTTTCTGGTCAGATTCAGCACCCAGAAAGACTATGATCATGCAACTGTGGGGGGTCGTGACTCCTATGAGAGATGTACCTCATGGTGCACCAGTGGTTCAAAGGCTTTAATCCATGGAAAACAATTATCACATCAATAATGTTATGGGACCAACTACCAGAGCTTCCGTAACTTTATCAATAAGGAAGAAGTGATGAGAATTGCAAAGAGAATGGGTAAACCAGTCCGAGTAGATCGAGCCACAGAGCTTCGTGCTAGAGGGAAATATACATCAGTGTGTGTTGAAGTGGATCTAACCCAACATATCTTATCCCAATATAAAATAGAAGGAGTGGCATACCTAATACAATATGACGGTCTAGAACATATTTTCACAAATTGTGCACATATGGTTAACTACGCGTAGATGCCGGTGTAGGCTTATGAACCCGGCCATGGAAACATAGGATAAACCACCAGAAGAGGTTGAATTGGTAAATGATCTTACAAAAGGGCAGATGTATGGGGAATGGATGGTGGTAAAAAAGAAGGATCGACGTAATGGACAACGGGAGGGTAAAGGAAAAAACTTGGGGAGGGTCGAAATCAACCCATCCGTTTCCAAGTAATATAAGATGAGAATGACGAGGGAGGCAAGAAGGTTGAGTCAAACCAAGGGTAGAGCGGTAGTCGGCTGAGACTCCACAAGATGTAAGTGAAGGAACACATAATAATTTTCATGCTGAAATGCATGTGAAACTGAAACAATCTCAAGACCCCATTATGACTAAGGATCGCACTGAGCAAAGGCCTGTGAAGCAGTGTATAGCCAAGAAAGGAAACTAAAAACATAAAAAGGTAATGAAAGGGGGCAAACTGGGAGCACGGGGACGGTTATGAACAAACAGCAACATATGTGCGGGGAACCAATCCCCTTCGGTAGTTAAATGAGGATCCTTAAAAACAAAGCAGATGTGTGACAAGAATGAAGAAATAATATGGAATCTAGGCTTCCTCGTAGGAGCATGTGATGTCTCTCGTGGTGGTCGGACTTGTGGTATTAGCATATATGGTGTGTAGAGGAAGTGACTATTATAGTCATATCTGATTTTGCTAATCGTTTTGACGCTAAGGTGGAGTAATCGCAGGACGTGACCTGGCAATTTTCGGGACTGCGGATGTTCATAGGGAAGGGACAAGCACTAAACGTGGGATTTGTTACGAGCTCTTGCGAGGCGATGGAGTGGACTTTTGAATTGTGGGGGGGGGGGGGGAGATTTCAACCAAATTATATTGGACTACGTTTGCATACTGTCTCACAGAGATTGGGCTGGAGGACCTGGGTTTCCAAGGGTATCCATTTACATGGGAGAATCGGCGAATGGTGGGTGGCTATATTGAGGAAAGATTGGACCGTTTTGTAGCAAATGGGGAATGGAGAAAAGTTTGGCCAAATGCAAGAATATCTCACCTGGATAGTAATCGATCGGACCATCGACCAATTTTCTGTGAGATGAATAGAGAGGAAGACGAGGAAGTGAAATGGGGATGGTCTTTTCATTCTCAACCACATTGGGTTAAACATTCGGAGTGGACAGATACAATAGCAAGAGCATGGTCCTCGGCTGAAGGGAATATCTTCAACAAAATTCATAGGTCCAATCGCAGCCGGATAGATGGAGTAGAGTATCTTTCCCCAATTTTTGAAAACAGAATGAGAGGATAAGAAGGGTGATGAAGGCGCTTGAATGGAGAGAGCCAACTAATGAAGTCCTCAACCAGCGGGCTATACCACGGAAAGAATTAGAAGAGGTGGAAAATGATGAAGGGATCTTTTGGAAGCAACGTTCAAGGGCGGAATGGCTAGAGAAGGAGATAAAAAAATACCATTTTTTTTCTTAAAAAGCATCAGCTAGAAGAAAAAGAAACACAATTAAGAAACTCAAAGATGACTTAGAATGA